GAAAAAGGAAGGACAGTACAGTTGGGTCTTCACGCATGAGCTGGGGAAATTGAAATGTGAGGATAAGTAAGAATGTGATCAAAAGTTCAATTAAGTAGGACTGCATGGGCGGATCTTTGTCCCAAGGTCTGATAAAATCTTACCCTCTGTCATCTTGTTTTACTTGCTCAAGCTTCAAAATTCTGGACTGGAAAAGTCTCACTGTCTGGATTAAAGCCACATGTGCCCTGGGAAGGGCCAGGAAGGAGTCCCCTTCAGTCTCTGCCTCTGCTATTGAAGAACTGTTGTGTGGGCCCTGAGCCCCCGTACCACCCAGACCCTATCACATCCACGGAGCCTGGGTAGACCTAATCTCTGCTCAGTGCCCCTCAGTAGCCCCTGGCTCCAGATAGCAATATTCCCCTTGGGAAGGTATTTCTCAAGACTTTGGCCAAGGGGGTGTCCTTTGCTCCCTCCCAGGAGACATATTAGGGAGTGAGAGGGAAAGCTGTACACGATAAATTCACGCCAGCATTCCTATCTCACAGAGTCTTTGGATTCTTTCCTTTACTTGATATCAAGGAATTTATGACATCTCAACTCTGTTTAATGTTGGCCACCACGGAGTCCAGACTTCTGTCAACCAACTGAACAAACAATGGTGTCTACTCCCAGCTGTTCTGAGCTAGCCTCAGAATCTGAGCCTCCTAATTGTTTCCATATCAAGGACTTCAACCTAGTCTATAATTCTGTCCCTCTGCCCTTAATCAAGAGTCTGTAAAACTCATTCCCACACATATTACACGGGCCTTTGAAGGTGTTAACTAACAACATCTGACAAATCACTTATTAGATATGTCTTCTGTGCCCACTATGATTTTTTTATTTCCTACCTCCCCGACAGGTATTCTAAATCAGATCTTGGAATCAAGGAAGCAATATTGCAGAGCAAATTATAAACAGAACAGATTTCTTTCAGTGTAACTCTTTTGATGGAGTGCTGCTTGGGGTAGCACAGGAAAGCCAATGAGTTCTCTTGGTCTTCTCCATCCCAAGTCTTAGCCTAGCAGTGCCTCAGCGTCGTCCAGAGGCACAAAGACTCAAGAGACACAGCTCTGCAAACCTCAGGCTCTACCGTGGAGTTGTTTCCCATTCTCTCGGCTGTGTGTTTTTCAGAGACTGGAAATTCATTCAGCACTTAATTCAAAAGTTCTAGGTGTTAATGTACACCTTCAGTTGAGAACTTGGAGATTTAAATCTGAGCATGCTCCCTAATATGCTCCCTAATGCCATGAGAAACAATGCCCCAGTCCTTCCTTCTCTGGGTTTAGGAAACACCCCTCTGCTCCTCCTGCCCTGATTAAGTCAGTAGGGGGTCTGTTTTCCCCTACTGTAGAAGTCCCCCTGACTACTTTTTCTGTGGACTATTTCCTCCTCTCTCAGACTCTCTCAGGTGAGGACACAGGGCCCTGAATGCCCTCAAACCTGTCTGCAATTTTCCGACCTTCTTGTACTTAGCCAACAGTGGGCAAGTTCGGAATACACCTTAGGCAGTCCCCTGCCTCTGCTGTCCTGGCTTCTCCCCTCACTCTTACGCCTTCAGCATCTAGAAAGCCTTTTGTTGTTGCTGTGTTGTTCTGAAGGCCGGATGCCTGGCTTTACATCGACATTTCTAAATTTACTGCTTGTTTCCTGACTTAGGCTTTTGAAACTCAGATGCTAAGAATTTGTCTTTTGTTGTCTTCATTGTGCTTGACCATCCCCCTCCTCAAGGAGAAAATAGAGTACCTCAGTCATTTGTCAATGCAGAGGATGAGTATAAAGTAACAGGAAATATTACTGGTAAAAATATATGACATGATACTACTACTTTTGCTTAAATGTGGTTTGATTTTTTATTGATTAAAGCAGTCTATATTATTGTTTACAAAACAAAATTACACCAGGCAAGGAGGACTGCACATCTGCAATCTCAACACTTGGCATGCTGAGGCAGGAAAAGAACACGTTCAAGGCTATCCTGGGCTATATGACTGGTTTGAGGTCAGGTTGTTGGACCTTAAGAGAGAATCCTTACCTCAAAAACCTGAAACCAACCAAACAAGCAAACAAAACTGAAATTATCCTCCGAGGTAGTGATATTCTCATGAACGGAGGCATTTAAACAGGCAGACAGTCACCTGCTAGGGTTTAGTAAAAAAACAACAACAAAAATGTCTCCACTGTTGGGAAGCAGAACGGTGTTTAAGGCAGATACTAAAGTTAATATTTTATGCTTTGGTTTTTTTTCACATCTTTGTATTAACAGCAATATTTTGAGATCCTCAATAATTCCCCCACTTCAAATAAATCAGTCAGCATTTTTAATGGGACCTTTTCTGAATGCTCGGGATTGGTCATTTTCAGTTCCATTGATTATATTGGCTCAGATGCAATTTTCTGTTATAATGGCTGACTGTTGTTCTGTCCCTTCCTCTCTGCCCCATGCATCTTCAATGGAGTGGGTGTTTGTTTCTTTTTCCTAAGAGAAGAGGCAAGAAATTCATTGTTCTTACTCATGTTTGGAGAAAGTATCAAGGTGCTAAAGAAGCTGGGTGTGTAGCTCAGTGATAGGGCATTTACCTCGCACGTGAGGGCCTAGGTTCTAGTCCCAGAGCCATAAAGGGGTGCATTTTTTAGAAATCACTAAAGTAACCTTGGAGTTAGCCTCAGGATGCACTTCTGCCTAGTATGGGGCTCTGGTGAGTTACTCAAGCTCTCTGAGCTTCCGTTTCTTACACACAAAGTGAAGAGAAATGATCCCTACTATAGCAACACAAAATGGAAGTAGCAAGGACCAGGACAGGTGTGACTTAATCCTTAGGCCACATACAGTAACTCTGTCTCCTTCCTCTGCCCTTCTCTCCAGCCCATCCTTCTCAGGGACCAGCTTCCTTCCTCCTCCCATTCCTTGGCTCCTCTCATAGCAGCAAATTGACAAGTCTTTTTAGGCTTCTCCTCCTCACACCATACCCTCAAAAGAAAGAAGGCAGATCTCTTTCAGCCTTTACCATGGATGGGAGAGGGAATGTCTTTCTTGGAAATCTCAGCAGCTCTCTTCATCCCTCACCAACCAAACTAGGTCACACAAACAGTTGGACAAATCCTTGTAACCCAAGGTGGCTAAGCTGAACAATGACTTACTCCAGATCTGGGGGCTACTTCTGGGAGAGGGAGATGGAGAATGTGGGCAGGGGCAGGGGAAGCAACCTTCCAACCACAGTTACACCGTTCACTATGCTAACAGAAAGGCCACAGGATTATGAACATGACAGTGCCCTGTGCCTGTAAAGAGCTGGACACAGATGTATAAAATGGTGTCAGGGGACCAATTTGATTTCTGGTCATATCACTTGAACAATTAACAAAAGTCTGGTCCATTTACAAAATGAGAATGTCACCAATAAGGGAACACACACACACACACACACACACACACACACACACATATTTTCCCGCAAAAACTTTTATTCAGTTAAAGTAAAAGGATAACCAAAAGGACCACATATTAATTGCCAAAGAATTTTAAAATATTTACTTACTGTAACTGCTTTTTTTTTTCTAAATCCATGCTAGAATTGAGTTACATGTTATAAAGCCAGTTTGTGCTGGGTAAATTTGAAGATCTTGTTTGCAACTACCCCTAGGCACACCAGTAAGCTTTGAGTAACCACGGGGCTGAGATTTTTAGATGGAAGGAATGCTTTGTGAACCAAATTTTTAGTAACATATAGAAAATCAAATTCATCTGTTCATAAGTCATCATGCCCTGTACCCTTAATCTCCATATCTCTGATACAGAAAGATTAATCTTAGAAGGGATAACTGACAGCCTATCACCTCAGGCTGTAGAGAAAATGAAAATGTCCTCTACAAATGTGATTCATATTACAGTTCTTAACACACGGTCTGTGCTATCTGGTCTTGTTCGAATGAAAAGAACTTAGTCAACTATTCCATTGGAGGGTATATTTCCCCCTTTGTAATTGTATCATATTCAGAATTATTAGAAGATAAAAAGAGATCTGATTTTTTTTTTTTGGTCTTTTTGAGACAATCTCTTTGCAGCCCCAGCTGGCCTGAACTCACTATGTAAAACAGGCTGGCCTTGAACTCACAGAGCTCCGCCTGCCTCTGCCCCTCAAGTGCTGGGATTAAAGCCATTCACCACCAAACCCAGCCTCAAGGTCTGCTTCTTGATAACACAATCTTTTCTTTGATCCAGATATTCCTAGAGGGGTGTGGCTCTGTGGGATTTTAACAGATAGTCCTGTGAGTAAATTCTGACAGTTATTTATTTAATCTCACCAAGCTTCAGTATTTATTAGGAAAGCTGGGGTGATAATAGTACCTACTTTGTTATAAGAAACAAATGGCATGTTTGTCAAATGCATCAAAGAAAGACTAACACATTTGATACATGTTATCTATTGTTATATTTGGACTGTGAGAAATAGTGTACTGTATTGGAAAGTACCAGGCTAGGTTGATACACGTGCTGAATTTAGACCTTGCCCCATTGTTTCTGTGTCCCCGTATAGGAGGGGCCTGGTACAGTGTTGAAGAATAAGAGTAGAACAGAAGTCTCTGGTGCATGACCAGCCCTCTTCTCACCTGGCCCCAAATCAGTTTCTGCACTCAGAGGTCATGGATGTGCACTTGGGCTTCCCAACCCCTCTCTTACATCACAAATAGTGCTGCTCCTCCCTCCCAATGCAAAGATTAGACCATTTGCAAAATGTCTAATCACTGTGATTAGAAGAGACAAGATCTGTCATTGCCATTGGGAAATGGACACATAAAGTGGCGCTACAAGCTACTAAAGCAAGTCCGGGATAGTTGGGCAGGAACTCCAGAATACCTTGAAATCAATGGTTTAGAAGATGAAGGACCTGAGTGCTCACAGCCCCTTAGGCTCATGACAAGATCTTAGCTGTGGGTGAGCACAGCTACAAGAGGACCAGAGAAAGGGAGCTTCAAAAATGTGGGGCCAGATGTGGGAAATGAAGAGCCTCCATTTCCTGGATCTAAGTGAGTGCCTGCAGTTATATCTTTTTTAAAGTGCTTTATTGCAATACTGAACATAGCACAAAATTCACCATTTAAAGAATGTGTGGTGAGCCAGGTGTGGTGGCCCACACCTTTAATCCCAGCACTTGGGAGACAGAGGCTGGCAGATCTCTGTGAGTTAGAGGTCAGCCTGGTCTACGTAGTGAGTTCTAGGCCAGCTGGGGCTACAGGGAGACCCTGTCTCAACCCCCCCCCAAAAAAACCAAACCAAAATAAAATAAAAGAAACCCTACAATTCAATGCGTTTAATTGTATTCCCAGTTATGCAAACACACATAGTCAACACATACAGCCCAAGGGGATGCTGAAAAAGAACAACTAAGCTGGCTGTTTCTCAGCATGTGCCTCTCCTCACGTCCTCCACCAGTGTTAGTGGACTGTTATTCTAATTCTTAAAATATAAATTCTGATGCCACATGGCTTTAAAGTACAACCCAGTGTCTGCACTGTGGGTCTAGCAGTATGCATCTGTAACCCTAGCTACATAAGAGGCTGAGGCACAAGGAACTCAAATTCAAGGCCAGCAACATAGTGAGACAATGTTTCAAAAAAGAGGAAAAGAGTAGGAGAGGTGTGTGTGTGTGTGTGTGTGTGTGTGGAGAGAGAGAGAGAGAGAGAGAGAGAGAGAGAGAGAGAGAGAGAGAGAGAGATCCAAATTAAAGAATCTTCGAGGGAAATTTTGTCTGTCTAGAATTTTCACTTTAATACACAGCTGTCAGAACTGAATCTCCAAGGAAGATATGATTTCATTTTTCACAAGAGAGGACCCTGACTTTTCAGGTCCTTCTACCTGAGCCTCAGAATCAGGTTAAATACAGCTGTGTTCCCCTCAGTTCTGACAGTATCGCCTCTTCTCAGTTCAAAAGCAACACAACAGGACCAGCATCCCTGCAATTATAACTGTGCTTGGCTACCATACGTCAGCTCCTGATCTGAGAACGCACATTCAGAAGATGAGGAGAATCAGGTTAGCCGACTCTACTGGGTTCCTTAGTTTCCCCACAGCAGGTAACCAGAGCTTGGGTAGCAAAGAATTCACCCTAAAACACAACTGAACCGATTCAGTTTGAGTTAAAATAATGGGAATCTGACTACCAAGGATTGCTAAATTTTTGTTTCAAGTCCTATTTGTGAACTTTACTGAATTATAGGCATGCTAAAAACCACACAAAATCATCATTTTTAATAAGTGACATAAATGTAAAAGCTGTCACCATGGTGTGTGTCCCCTGCTTTGGACCTCGTCCTGCCTGACTCAGATCCAGGGACAACCAAGGGTCATCGTGCAGAGTGCAGATAAAACAGCCCGACCTACCTCACTGATTCCCAGAACAATTCTCCTCCCTCGTATATATTCACCGCTATTTCTGTGGCTAATGCTTGGGATGAACGCCTCTCTTCATGGAGCTTCATTTTATCACTCTAAGTTTTGATGGTATTAGCAAATTCGTAATAGCTTCTCCCGTTTCTGCTTCACAGTAGATCAAACATTAGCATTAAATGGGCACTTTATGATTTCCCCTTAAAATAGAATCCTAATTATGTTTAAAACTATTATAGTTTCTCTCTGGTTGGTTTTTCAATAATAATTGCCGAAACACTGAAAAGTTTCTGTCCTTCAAGTCAGAACAATCTAGATCTGACCTCTTCTAGCCTTAAACTAAATTCTGAGTATGTGCCTGGCCTTTCCTGACTCTGAGAGAGGCAAGCAAGACTTTACTCATGAACTACAGTTGCCAGGGAATTTGAGGCTTCCCATTTGATGTAATGAATGTATCTGTAAACTTGCCACTTTCAAGATTCAGTAACCTGAGCCCATAGTTCTAGATTATATTATCATCAGATTACTCAAAGCTTTATTTCTGTAGAAAATCATTTGATATTTAGAAATGAAGCCTCTCAATAAAAGTCTTATTTTTTTTCATCCATTATGACAACCAATTGTTATGAAGGGAAATTAACTTGTCTATTGCAGTGCTTTCTTTTTAATATTGATTGATATTGATTTATTCACTCTGTTGGGGGTGTGCACACTCATGCACATGTGCCACAATGCGTGTAGAGGTCAAAGGACAACTTGATGGAGCCAGCTCTCTCCTTCTACCATGTGAGTCCCAGGGATAGAACTCAGCTCAGCAGACTTGGTGGCAAGCACTTTTATCCCTGAGCCATCTTGTCTGCCCATTGTAGAGGTCTTTGCAAGTCTTTTTAGTAGCACAAGATCTCTTTTTCTAAGGCCATACGTATACCCATTATATTTAAAGGACATGAGAATTCTCTGGCTCCTAAGGACAAGAATCCTAGGTCCAGCTGCCTGGCCTTCTCTCTTACAGAGCCCCCAATTTACTTCTTTGTAGAGCAAAAGGAAAAATCTTGAAAGATCCAAACACATTGACTAAAACTTCAGCTCTACAAGAAGCGATGGGGGTGTGTGAGTAAGAACAGGGTCCTGGGCCCCTGGTGCCTCTGTTGATTTATTATTATTATTTTAAAATAGCATCTACTTTGTAGAGTGGTAAGGAACTTCTAATGAAAATGTAGGTTCTTGTTTTACACAGCCACTGTGCCCTTCTTGGGCAAGAATAAGGCAGCCTCTTCTCTCCACCCAAGCCCAGGTGCTCTGCTGAGGAGTTTCTGCCCAAGGCTGCTTTACACCCACACCCTGCACCTGACTGGCAAGCTTCTGATCTGCACTGTTTCTTGTCAGTGACAACTCGCAGGTCTCCAGTACTCAGATGTTCTCTGGACACTCTGACCACTTTCTTCAGAATGTATTAATAGCTTATATATTTATAACAGAATTTTGTGTTTTCTCTTCTCTTGTAACAGAGTCCCTGTCCAAACTTTCTGATCTGTGCTGCCCACTCCATGAAAGTAATTGTAAATGTGTTTTGAAATGAATACAGATTATACATGATGAGCTGTTAATGTGTTTCATACAAATTTCCAGGATTTCTGCATGTCATACCTAGGATAGTCATATATCATTAGCCTAAACCATCTTCATTTTTTCTTCGTCCTTTCCTTCTTTCTTTTGTCCTCTTGATTTATCCATTCCTCTGCAGCCACAGAAACCAAAATCCAAGCCAGGCCAATAGCTGGTGCCTCTGTAAAAGGAAAGCTTGGCTTTCTCAGCTCTGTCCTGTTTTTCCTACGAGCCAACTTTGTTTTCCCAGAACGGAGCCCAAATTGTACACCAGATATGCTGCTGCCTGGTATCTTTTCAATAACAAAACATGCACCATTTGGAGTAGTCGATTACAGTTGGCACAAAGACCTCACAGCCCTTCTCCCAACTAAAAGGTGCTGGGCAGATCAGGCCTGGTTTCATCCCTGTGGTGTGGTCCTTCTCCACCCTAGTAGATTTCAGTCACATTGTGTAAAGGATAAGGGTCCAAGTTCTGACTGGGGTTATTTTTTGGGAAATCAAGAGGAATAGAGAGAATAGCCAGCTGGTGGCCAGTGCTATTAGTCCCTTTAACCTGAGGATGGTTGGGCTATGCGCTATGAGGAAACTCAGCCCTGAAGTGTGGGTGGAGGGAGGCAGATGTGGCAGGTGGCTTATTGCCCAGGCCTGATACTTCAACCCTACAGCATCACAAGCGTTTGCCAACACCTACTCCCTTCTCTGGAAAGGGTGAGTTGTTGACTGTGAAGGAAACACAAATAATGGAAGTTATTTCCATGCAAGGGCAACATGAGACACTACTCTGTTAGGCAGTGAGTCTTATCAACAATGGTTTTCCTAAGTGCCTCCAAAGTATCTATCCACTAGACCACAGGAGGTGCTTCGATTCACCCTGGAAGAAATCGCAGTTTAATAAATCAGCAAATACACGGAGCATCTAAATCCAATAACTGTGAAGTACAGATAAATCACTGCTGCCGAAGCTCACTGTACACTTGATTCATTTGAAACAGGCAAAATCAAATAGCAATCCTCTCATCCAGCTCCTAGACACACACGCAAAGCTCAAGCTGCCCCAGGCACCAGGCCTGAACGACTGCCTGGAGCTGGGCTTCCTTCCTAGCTTTTGGGTAACGAAGGAAGAAGAATGCTGAATTCCAGCCTAAGGCAGTCTGTTCTCATGACACAGATATGCTGGAAGCTCTGCGTGAATAATTCATCGTCCTGTTTGGCTGTGTCGCGGGTTCCACCCCTGGAGCTGCGAATCGAAGGAGATCAGGCTCTGGCTCTTACCCTAGCTGCACGACTGGGTCTTCCAGCACATTATCTGTGGTTGATTTGCTCACCAGCTATGTGTGGGCAAGTACAGCGGAACATGATGGAAGCTGGAGATTCAATAGATTCAAGTTGAGCCAGGACTGCGAGGGTGTTTCCACTCACTCTCCACCTTCTCTCCCGTGGAAATACCAGGCACTTCCACCCCTCCACTCAACTCAAAGTAAGTTTCATGTGAAATGCAAGCAAAGTGCAGCCCTCGTATTTATAAACATGCCAGCTTGCAAATGGTTGGATAGGTATTTGAATTATTGATTGTTAAATATTTAAGCTGAATTCCTCATCCATCAGTTCTTGTGAGAAACTAGAGGACAGATTTACGATGCTGGAGTTTTTCTGGTTAGTTGGCAGTTGGCATCTTTATTAATTATAGCTCACATGGAAGGTTCCACAGTGTTGGCTGCAGGCGCTCAGGATCCCTATTATTCCTTTGAAACGGGGTTTGAGCAACGAGAACCCCTGAAATGGAAAAAGAAAGCAACACAACTCACTGAATTACTGATGCCATCTTCGGAGTTTTTGGCAGGTCCAACTGCGTCTCTGATTAGAGCAATTGAAAGAACAAGACTCTTAAAGGCAGGCAGATCTGGATTTTAGTTCTCCTTTCTCCGCTTCCTGATTCTGTGAACCTGAACTACATATCATAAAGATTTCCACTAAATCTCAACCTCTTTATCATAAAGGGGGGAGGGAGGGAGATAGTGGCAACTATCTGGATATAAATAGAAACATACCTACACATATACACCTATGTGTGGGAGGCTACACAAATCAAGTTTAGAGTGCCTGTTAGATAATACTAAACAGCTGGAGAATTACAGAGTAAAGGCTTAACCCTGTGAAGAGAGGAGAAATATTCTAATCTGTCCTGTTCACTTGGAGTCTCATGAAGTCCAGACTGGCCTCAAACTCCTCAGTCTGCTGCCTCCACTCACAAATGCTAGAACTGCGTGTGCACCACCATTCCTGGCTGTTCTGTTCATTGCCCGTCCTCATCGTCTAGAACAATTCCTGAAAAGCAAAAGGACTCAACGACTGTCTATCCTTTTGGGTTCCATGGCTATGCAGCCTCATCTAGAAAGGGGGTCTGCAGCCACCCCCACCACCAGAAGTCTGCAGTGCACATCTTTGAGCTTCACAGATGAAGACATAAAATTGAGTTGCAATGTGTATAGCTCACACTATGTATGGCAGAGCACTGGTTTAGCCTGCTTGAGGCTCTGCATCTGATGCCTAGCACTAAATTTTTTTTTTTTTAAGAATCAAAACTGAGAAAATTTCCCCCAAACCAGTAGAAGCAAGAGAATAGGAGACAGGTGTCAAGTTATAAGCACATAAAACTGACAACAGGACAAAGGTACAGAATGCGGGAGGAAAATGCACTGAGTGGATAAGGAAAGTCCTCCTCATGTCTGGAGGTGGCATCTGGGGCTCACATCCCAACATTGCCCTTTTCTAAGAAACACACTCAGCTGACAGGAAATGAGGCAGAGTTGCGCTTGGACAGCCCTGTTTGCCAACTGGATCCGTGAGAAAGAGCTAAAAAGAGGCTGTGGCCTTTTTCTGATTAATGCTGAAATGGGAGGGTGATGCAGAGGTGGTTTTGACATGGAAATCTCAAAGTCCAGGATGACAATTTGCTCACAGCTGAATCCCCTGTGCCCAGCACAGTGTCCGACAGTCACTAAGCCTACAATTCTTTGCTGACTGCATGGGTTCTGCCCCCGAACCCAAACAGTATAGCCAGTATGAATGAAACTTCTCTTTATTTGTACTTTGGCCAGCAATGAGCTAAGCATCTTTGTCCTGTTCCTAGAACTACCAACTCCCATTTCTTAAATGAAGAAGCCGAAGCTCCTAAACTTCAGCCAGGATCCCATTGGTTAAGGGACTAGCGAGTGCCGTGCCTGGGTTCAAACTTTGCCTCCCAGACTCCAGCTCATGCTGTTTATAACAAACCATGTCACCTCACCAAGTCCATGTCACCCTCCATGGCCTCTAGCTACTCCTGAGTTAGCATTTCCCAACTTTGTACAGCTGAATTCTAAGCTGGATAATACTTCTTTGTGGTGTTCACTGTTCAATGTCTGGTAGTATGCCTGGCCTCTACCCACTGCAGCCCGTAGGCCTACCCCACCCCACTGTGGCACACTAACGTGTTTCTGGGCATTGCCAACTGTCACTTGATGAGAATGGCAAAATCTCCCCAGCCAAGAGCACTACAATCACTCTGACTCTTTCCCACCTTCCCATGACAAAATATGGAGACGCCAGTCTCTTGGAACACCAAGCTTCAAATATCCAGTTACATTGGACATTTCCAAGCGAATGTTCCACTCACCTGTACCCTAAAGTTGAGTTCAACATCATTTCCTGACTCACAGCTCATCCTTCTTTATACCCTGCTGTGCTCTCCCCAAATTCATATGCTGAACTCTGAATTCCCAATGTATTAAGATTTGAAGGTATGATTACATGGGAGGTTATTAGGTCATGAAGTCAAAGTCTTTGTGAATGAGATTGGTAATCTTGAAATAAGAAACATGAAAGCTCTCACTCTCTGCTTTCTACCATGCAAGATACAAAGTTTGATAAGTTGTTGTTTTTTTAAATCCCTAACACAAGAGTACTGTGTCTTTTCCCCATTGGCTGGGGTCCAACCTCACAGTCTTTCCCAGTTGGCTAGTTTAGAAGAATCAGAGCAAAGGAAATGAGAAGAGCTCCACTGCCCCAGGCCATCAGATTCCAGAATGCATCTGGGCCTTACCTTAAAAAAAGTTTTATAGGGTATGGTGGGATTAGAAGATTAGAAGTCCTTGTCATAAACCAAGTTTTACAGGCTTTGAAAGAAAGAGAAAAAAAAACCTAATATTTAATGTTTCTTATAATCTCTACACTGGAGAGACTGAGAACCAGAAAGGCTGAGAACCTGGTAGCTGCTCTGCCCATGAGGCTGGATGGAAAATATCAATCGTGCACTGAAGGCCTGAAGGATTCCTGGGGAGCCACTAATCTTCTGTCCACATTGGAACGCTGAATAAGCTGGGTTCCAGTGTCAGCAAAGGATGGCAGATGCACTTACCAGCAAGGAATGAGTGTGGGCAGGCAAAAAGCAGCCTTGCTTTTCACTCAAACCTCTTTATGTCTTCGCTGCCCCTGGAAGCTGCTCCTCACACTACAGGAAGGCATTTCCTCCTCAGTTAATCCTTCCCTCACAGACCTCTCCAAAATTATAACATTTAGTTGATCCCAGATCCAATTAAGTTGACAACCAAGATTAAGCATCAGTGTAAGGGTGTTATTATTTTCCTGGTTTCCTATGTTCTTCTTGGCCTCTGCTGCCCTGCCTGATACACTGAAGGTGATGTACATTCGGTCATGTATTAAAAAGGCCTGCTGGTTGTGGATCATCAACCCTGAATATCAAGATGAAGCCCAGATGTGAGCCTAAGCAGCACGGTCTAGCAATTAGGAGTGAGGCTGTTGAGACTCAGAAAGACAAATATCACCTGTTCATATATGGAATCTAGATTTATTTGCATGCGTGCATGTGTGCATGTGTGTGTGTGTGTGTGTGTGTGTGTGTGATGAAAGCAGAGGGTAGTGTATGGGAGGAAGGAGGTGTTTAAAGGCAAGGGGGAGAATGGAACAAGAAAGGGCAATAGAAAGAAGGACAGTACTATATGTTATGTCTCTGCAAAGCACAGGGAGGAAAGCAGATGGGGGATACTAGTGTGCAGGAAGGGGACCAGTGATAGGGGGACACAGAAGGGTAATGAGAGGACAAATATGAATAAAGTACAATTATATATGTAGAAAATAAAATTATATATGTAGAAAATAAAATAAAAGTCATTATTTTATACATTAAATAAAAAATATTTATGTAATTATTTTTAAGAAGAGGCTGGTGTGTAGAGGTGTGTTTGTCTTTTGGCTCATTTAAATTTGAGGGGACCAGATGTCGAGATGGGACAACAGCCAACTGAATTAGAGAAATGCAGGCCTTAACAAAATTAATGAGACCCTTAATAACACAGGGTCCAAAAATCAGGAGTTAGCAGTAATGATGGCACACATGAAAAGGAACATAGACAGGGGGTTCCCTCTGGTTTGAGGGTTTTGATTGGCTATAGTCTCTGCTTGTAAAATGAGATACTTAAGGTTGCCCCGGGTTATCAGGTGTGCCATTGGAGCCAGTTGCTTTCATGGTCTGCGACACTGGGTTGGTCTCTCAGTGGTTAAGAGGTGTGCTGCTTCCTCCAGGGTCACGGCTGCCATCTCCGAGGTCGGTGGCTGTGGAGGGAGGATTTCCATCGCAGGCAATTTTAATGTTCTGGGCTGGGATCCAAATGGGGGCTGGAACATTATCTGGAAAGACACAAGCATAGCCTCACCCTTGTGTTAATAATAGGTGTGGACCTTTCCATTCACTTGTGAGAGGGTCCTTCCATCTCACCATGGGGGCAGGAGTGGGCTGAGTGAACGCCCGCCAATGTTTTTTTGCTGGTGGGAGGCCATTGCCTCAGCGAGGGCTGTAGCATGGGCCCGACCCCATGGACTCGACAGGCCAGAGTCCATTCAGTGACATCCTTGTGCCTAACAGGTCCTATGGAAAGGTGACACTCAGTAGAGCAGCCCTCATATACAAGATCTTTGAACAGACATCAGCAGCCCCTCGATGACTGATTTTTCTATTTACACCTTGTTGACATCACTCAACAAAGTCAGAGAAAGGCTCACCTGGTTTCTGTACCTATTTAGTTAACTTAGTATCACTGTGAGCTGGCATTCTACGAAAAGCATGCAGCGCGCAGGGCCGCACTTAGTCAAAGTAATGGGGGGGGAATCCCTGAGCCTGAGCTTGGGGAGCTTCAAAACTGCCACTCCCTGCCAGAGTATCAAACCGAATATTTTGGACATCGGCATTCCTATTGTGTTCTGCCTGTTGTTCACACTCATCTTGATAGGCAGCCTTCCATAAAAGTAAATCACCTCCCTGTAAACACACGTGGGCAATATGTTGCCAATCCTAGAGGGTATTGGCCGCATGGCTGATCATATCTAAAAGCTGACCGAACCAGGGGGAATGGATACTGTCTTCAAGTGCCGTTTTGTGCAGATTTTTTAAGGTATCATGAGAATATGGGTTCCAAATATTTG